GTCAATGTAACTGGCATCTATTGAGGCTTACATAGGCTGGTCTCTGTGCTATCGTATTTAAGAGTATTATCTGGTCATCCCTGGCTCACAGGTGAAGGAACTAGAGGCACCCAGGCGTTAAGTGACTTACCCAGGTCACCCACTGGACAGTGGGTGGGGCGGGGATTGCAACCTCGCTGTCCCATTCTGAAGCCTTTCTTGTTCTAAGCATATTTTCTTGCCTCCTGGGATAAACCTTTTTGGTTGTGATAGACTCTTCTTTCCATATGATGCTAAATTCTATTCACTATTTTTAAATTAAGACTTTAACAACTATATTGTAAGAGCTATTGGGTTATAACCCCCACCCCACTTTTGCTCACTGCTGTGTCACTGCAGGGATGCCGCTGACTCATTGTACCATGCGCAGTGCAGAGTGCAGTGCAGCTCTCTGCTCACGCACTGCCTGCTTGTAAGTTATGGCCACAGCACCAGGAACCAGTCGTTCTGGAAGGTTTAATGACATCTGTGTACATGTCCAGTATATGTATAGGGTCACAGACATGCGTTTTATGTATTATCCTAATTCCTGGCATCACCATTTCCTCTTGTCCACACTTCCTTATTCATCCACTCATTGTAAGTTTTATTTTATCTTGTTACATTTTATACACTTCAGTAAGCTATTATGTATTCTTTCTGGAATAAGATGGGTCTAAAATAAATAAATTTACAGAATTAAGAAAGGGACATTCTGAATTTGGGGGGTATAAAATAGCTGATTTTTGTAAACAGGCTTAAAAAAACACTCTGCTATATTAAGATGGGCAAAATCATGGTCAAGTGCCAAGAAAAATAAACTCAACATGAAAGGCTACACAAAGCAACCAGAACGTTCTTTGCTATATTTGTATCTCCTTGGGAAATATGGGGATACCGCCCCCCCCGTGACTGTGATTCCCCCTCTGCCTCAGAACGGGCTGGCATGTTAAGGTCCCCAGAATGGCGTTACCTTTAAAAATTCTTTGAAGTCCGTGTCCTCGTCGGTCTTCTGCTGTAAGAGAGCGGCTCCGTTGAGCTGGCAGCTGCAGAACCGGATGTAGGCCTGCATGTGGGACAGCTCGGCCGCCAGGATGTCCCCGATCATCTGCACCGGCATCTTCTCGCCCCCAGTCTTCTTCCGAACCCGCAGGGCCCTGCAACCAACACATTCTCTCACTTTCTGCTTCTGAGTGACTGTCCCGTGAGGGCCTAACGCAGTGATAACCAGCGAGTTCCGGGAAAAACCTCTGGCACCCAGAGGGCACAGTCAGGAGGAGGAGGAGGCAGCTTGGCCAGAAAGCTCTGCTGGCCAAGCCACCTGGGTGAAATGTTGTAAAGAAGAATAAGCACACGGGGTCAGTACACATGGGTGTTTCTTCTGACTCATTTCTATGCCTTTGGAATTGCTGTGGTTTCACCTTAGTTTCTTAGCAAAGTTTCTTTTGACAAATTGCAACTTGTTCTCACCCTCTAGGGCAGTGGTTCTCAACCTTCTGGCCCTTTAAGTACAGTTCCTCATGTTGTGACCCAACCATAAAATTATTTTCGTTGCTACTTCATCACTGTAATGTTGCTACTGTTATGAATCGTAATGTAAATATCTGATATGCAGGATGGTCTTAGGCGACCCCTGTGAAAGGGTCGTTCGACCACCAAAGGGGTCGCGACCCACAGGTTGAGAACCGCTGCTCTAGGGAAAAAGGGAGCAAGAGCCCACAGGGCCAGGTGTGGAGGGGGAGGGAGCCTCTGCCCAGGACAGCTGCTGGGCCCCAGGAGGAAGGAGGCAGCCAGAGCTGGGACCGCTGATCCTCCTCCCCGGAGTCTGTCCGCACGGGCACAGGGACAGAAAATCACCCCAAGGAGTGGGATTCCACACGGGCCGAGGGGCTGCCCGACTGGCCAGTTATGTGTGGGCCAGGAGCTGCCACTTCTGACTCCACCCAATACAGCGTCAAGTATATGTTGATAAAGTGTGTTTAATGCTTTAACGTCTTTGTCTAGTCAAAGTATTTTCTTTGTTATATTTCTTTAATAATGAGGTATGTTACAGTTACAGGGCATTTCGTACCATAATAATAAAATGAAAAGCCCGAGAGAGCAGAGAACAGTGGAAGGTCCTTCGCTAAGGAGCCCTGCGGGAAGTTCCGTGGGCAGTCTGCCTGGGGGCGGGTGGGGGTCGCGGCCACGAGGGGTGAGGCTCTGCACTCACTTCAGCAGCTTCGTGTTAGACATGATGAGCTCCTTCCAGTTAACGAAGATCAAGGTCATTTCTCCTTCGGTGAGAGAGCCTGACTCTGCCATCCGTTTCTGAAAAACCTAAGTTTTAAACACAAAAGAAAAAAGTTAGCTGAAGTGTGAATTTACAACCTATGAGGTCTAAATCAAACAATACCTTCAGACACTGGAGCTAATCAGATCATGGTCTTTTTAAATAAACGTATTTATGATGGTTAACCTTTATGACTTCCCTACTGACTGCCATTTGGGCTCCTATGGGGTGGATCCTAAGGACTGAATCCGGTCATCTCATCAGGAGGAGCGGCTCTCACACTCTGTCCTGGGCGCTGCGGAGGGGAAAGGCACGCCTGCACGCAGCACCTGCACCGACAGCCTGCAGAGCTGGTGAGGAGGACTGCTGTCAGGCTGAGCACCTCCGTGTTCCCCGAGCAGTTTGTCGAAGTTCAGCAAAATAAACAGCAAAGACTACGTCACCCCCAAAACTGACAACCACGCAAACAGGGAGGAGAAAAGCAGGCCTTGCTGGGGGGCAGGCTCAGGAGGCTGCAGCTTCTGCTCCGTGCTGTTACCAGGAGGGTCATGGTCAGGCATACGATGCACCTGTTGAGCTGTGCATGTGTGTTGGGGGGAGAAAGGGGTCCCCTGGTCTCCTTAGGTGGTTTATTTAACTAAAAGCCATGGAAACAAAACTATAAAGTCTCACTCTATTTACTCAAACACACATCATTTTGAACCACTCTAACAGCCGTTGTCAGCATAGGGGCCACTGCTGACGTCAATAGGCACAAAATAAACAGTGAATAGATGGCAATTGGGAGATATTTTACAATATGGCCCTCATTGGTTTTCCAACCGGATACAAATGTGAGGGGAACACTCCCACTGCTTAATAATTCCTCCATCAGGGTTCATGAAAATGTCAGGTGTCAAAACAGCAGTGTAAATAAAGTTAGTGCCCTCCCACCTACTCGGTACCCTGTCCTTCCCAGATGGGGCCTCTACCACTTCCGACCGAGGCGCCTGAGTGCCTCTTGCTCGCTCTCTCTCTCTCTCTCTCTCTCTCTCCACTCTGAATTACCTAATCTGGGAAAAAATTGGCTTCAGATCTGAGCCCTCTCCAACGGGCAGGGAAAGCATTTGAGAGGGTGAGAACTCCCGTCACTGCTTGTGAACTCACACATCGGAGGTGACACCTCGCTTCCAGGCCCCCACCCCTCCACTCCCAGAGCTGGTCAGCCGGGCCCCTCACCTCCACGACCAGCTGCAGGTCGTCCACGTACCGCTCCTCAGTCTGAATCAGCTCGTGGATGTAGCCCTGCCTCTTCCTCTCCATCGGCTGCATGGTGTCCAGCGTTTGGAGATCAGCACACCCTATGGAAAAACAGGGTAGCGTTTCAAAATAGTACTTTAGTCTTCTCTGCAGAAAAACGAAATCTGTCAGCAGATGCGCTGGGTTTCCAAATGCTGCCTCGCAGGAACTACACAGCTTTCCAAAGAGCCCGGGCCTTCCGCGGGCGGCGCACACCTGCGGACAATGACCACTCGGGGCTCCCAAGCAGCGAATCAGCAACACCTATAACAGGTCAATTTCCTTTCCAAAGAGGAAATGACAGGATGAAGGATTTAAACAAAAATCTCAGAGAGATCAGCACTGGGCTGAGCTTGTGAAGACTCTATGCCAGTCTCACCGTCTCAAGACATTTTCAAAGATACTGAAATGATTAAATGACTCACATGCTTCAGACCAGTGTTTGTCAAGCCACAGGTCATGAGCTCCCCACCGGTCATGATATCCGGTTAGTTTTGTAAATAGAAGCTGTCACGTGCAAGCACTGTTCTCTGAAAAGTGTTAGGTAGGTACATATGTGGGGATGTAAAATGTATTTCCTACTGTGAGCTGCGGCTTAAAAAATGTTTGAGAAACATTTCTGTAGCTTTCTCAAAGTCAAGTGCTACGTCAGGAAACCTACAGCTCCCAGCAGCCACCGGTTCCCAACAAGACCACTTAACCGACGAGGACAAAGGACTGGTGGTCTGGGATACACACGAGCCGCCTCACGTCAGGGTGAGAGGTGGATCAATTTACAGGCACATGGGAGCTGAATGAAATGTCAGACTGGGAAGTGACATAATCCAGAACCAGTCGGTAAGCAGCTGGTGCACAGCGACAGGGGAAACAGCTCAGCAAGTCCTTCCTCAGACAGAAAGAAAAAGCAGGTAGTTCCCAACAGCTACAGCACCAAGCAGCAAGAGGTGCAGGTCTAAAAGCTGGAGAGAGAAAGTAAAGGAGGCGTGGGTGACCTCTGAAGGAGAGGCAATCAGGGAGGGCGGCAGGAGGAAGGGGCAGCCTTGGGCAGTGCCCAGGTGGACAGGGGCAGCGTCCGGACAGATGCAGCCGTACCGCATGGGGAGGTGGTTGGCCGGCACTGGAACGAACGGACAAAGCCACAGAGGCAGAAAATGCCAGGATCAGACTGGGCTTTTAAAGGGCCTTTCTTGCCCTAACCGGTTTGGCTGAGTGGATAGAGCGTAGGCCTCCAGTCAAGGGCATATGCCTGGGTTGCAGGCTTCGTCCCCAGTAGGGGGCATGCAGGAGGCAGCTGGTCAGTGATTCCCTGTCATCATTGATGTTTCTCTCTCTCTATTCCTCTCTGAAATAATAAAAAAATAATATATATATATATACATATATATATATATTTTTTTTTTTTAAAAAATAAAAAATAAAGGGGCTTTCTTTTTCTGGTGACCTGTGAATATTTATATACTTTGTATAGATTGGGGCTTACTGGTAGTTATAATGAAGGCAGCTGTTCTATTTTCTGTACATGTTGCCAACAGCTTTAAAAAAAAAAAGTACTCTCACAGTAAAACAAAAATTGAATAAGGCCGGCTTGGTGCTACCAAGAAGAAAACAGTGCCTCTGTCATGTTCAAAATCATCAAGCTTCTCCTAGGGTCGTATTTTATTCTGTTCCACCAGGGAGAACCGCAGGAATGACTGAGGTTCTGGACCAGCAGGGCAGGCGCATGCCTGTCAGACCGGGCTGTCAGTCGCAAGGAGGCGGCGTGCGCTGACACCGGACGGAGCGCTTCTGACCCCGATGGGGGTTGCCAGCCGACTCCGATGGAAGCCAGCAGAGCAGTCTAAGGCGACCTCCTCTCTTACACTAGAATTTCACAAGTTTCAGTCATGCGCATTCCGCCACACCCATGTTCCAGCTCCACTATTAGTTATTCATTCACCCGGTTCCTCTAAATCAGCGGTTCTCGATCGAAGATGGCGGCGTAGGTAAACACCGGAGACCGCCGCCGTAAACAACCACTTCAAAAATACAGCTAAAGGTCGGAACGGACATCAACCAGAACCACAGGAAGGCTGGCTGAGGAGGGACTCTTCAGCTAGAAGCAAAAACAACAGCAGTCCGACGCACAGAGGAGGCGCAGTGTGGAAAATTTAAAGGTACGGTGGTGCGGTGGTGAGGTGGTGCGCGCGCAAAGCGGGCTGGTGGCTGAGGGCGCGGTTGTCGTTTTCACTCAGGAGTGAGTCTCAGACTCTGGGCTACAGATCCGGGGAGTCTCTAGGGACCCTGACTCAAACGGGAGAAGCGGGACTGTCTGGCTACGGCCCCTCCGAGGTTTGCAGCGATTGCTGGGACAGAGAGGCAGAGCCCTTGGGGACGGACTGAGAGCGCCCATAGCTGCTCCCTCCCCCCGCCCTGTTGAGCCCGCCCCGCCCAGGCACTGCGCACAGACATTTGCCGATCGCCTCAGGCAAGGGCAGGACTAGCGCCTCCCCAGAATCCTACAGCCAGTAGGTCTGCTGGTCAAATCCCTCTAGTGTTAACTACAACAATTAAGGCTTGGCTAGAACAAGACTGCGCACAGAGACCACAAGGGGGTGCACCAAGAAAGCATAAAAGATGCGGAGACAAAAAAGCATGACAGAAATGGAGGATATGGAGCTAAGAATCGCAATTTTGAGGGCTTGCCATAAATTTGTGCAGAGCCTCACGAAAACTAATGAGACCCTCGATGCTACGATAAAGAAATTAGAAAGTAAGCATACACGGACTGAAATAAAGAATATTATACCCAATAGCAGACCAGACGAGCAAAAGAATCAAACCAAAGATTCGACAAAAAACACCCAATTGGAAAACCAAAATGAAAAAAGAATCCAAAAGTGTGAAGATAGTATAAGGAGCCTCTGGGACAGCTTTAAGCGGCCTAATATCAGAATTATTGGAGTTCCAGAAGATGAGAGACAGCAAGATATTGAAAACCTATTTCAAGAAATAATGGCAGAAAACTTCCCCCACCTGGTGAAAGAAATAGACTTCCAAGTCCAGGAAGCGCAGAGAACCCCAAACAAAAGGAATCCAAAGAGGACCACACCAAGACACATCATAATTAAAATGCCAAGAGCAAAAGACAAAGAGAGAATCTTAAAAGCAGCAAGAGAAAGAAACTCAGTTACCTACAAGGGAATACCCATACGACTGTCAGCTGATTTCTCAACAGAAACTTTGCAGGCCAGAAGGGAGTGGCAAGAAATATTCAAAGTGATGAATGCCAAGAACCTACAACCAAGATTACTTTATCCAGCAAAGCTATCATTCAGAATTGAAGGTCAGATAAAGAGCTTCACAGATAAGGAAAAGCTAAAGGAGTTCATCACCACCAAACCAGTATTATATGAAATGCTGAAAGGTATCCTTTAAGAAGAGGAAGAAGAAGAAAAAGGTAAAGATACAAATTGTGAACAACAAATATGCATCTCTCAACAAATGAATCTAAGAATCAAGTGAATAAATACCTGATGTACAGAATGAACTGGTGATTATAATAGAATCAGGGACATAGAAAGGGAATGGACTGACTATTCTTGGGGGGAAAAGGGGTGTGGGAGATGCGGGAAGAGACTGGACAAAAATCGTGCACCTATGGATCAACACAGTGGTGGGGAGTGAGGGCGGAGGGTGGGGTGGGAGCTGGAAGGAGGGGAGTTATGGGGGGAAAAAAGAGGAACAAATGTAATAATCTGAACAATAAAGATTTAAAAAAAAAAAAAAAAAAAAAAAAAATCAGCGGTTCTCAACCTGTGGGCCGCGACCCCTTTGGGGGTCGAACGACCCTTTCACAGGGGTTGCGTAAGACCATCAGAAAACACATATATAATTACATATTGTTTTTGTGATTAATCACTGTGCTTTAATTATGTTCAATTTGTAACAATGAAAATACATCCTGCATATCAGATATTTACATTACGATTCATAACAGTAGCAAAATTACAGTTATGAAGTAGCAACGAAAATGATTTTATGGTTGGGGATCACCACAACATGAGGAACTGTATTAAAGGGTCGCGGCATTAGGAAGGTTGAGAACCACTGCTCTAAATGTACTCACGTTGAGTTAAACATCTAGGGAGCCATGGATCGGATGCACTGGTTATGTTTCCTCTAATAATAATAAATGACCTTTACAGTGAGTCCTCTCGGGTGCTGTTCTGCATGTCATTGCTTGTGTGCCACCTGGACACGCGTGCCACGCTTTGGGGAACGATGACATCAAAACCCACCAGCATCGGCCTCTCTATCTGTTCTGCGCCTCAGAATCATAGGGAACGTCTCAGATATTTTACCCTTTCTATGGCTGGGACATATGTGACATTAGCTTTATCAGGGTGACTGTGGGGACAATCTTGTACCCCACCCCTAGCTGGCCCTTTTGCATGTCATTATAAACGTTCATTCTCTGTTCCAGTTTCCATCCGGACCCCTCCCTTCACTTTCAGATGTTCTTACCGCAGATGTTAGGGAAGATGCCCCTTTCCCTTCCTGCCCTTTCCCTCCGTGCTCACGCGCCCTGCACTTCCTTCCTGTGTCTAGGGATGGGACTGT